GGTGCATTTCACAACCCTAGTACACACTGTTCCACGGATGGCACTTTAGCCAAAAGCTATACGCATACTTCTCTTGGTACATAGAATGGGTAATGTGATTAATTTGGATCATTCTACTAAATTAAAAAATAGCATACCAACAAGCAATTTATCCGTCAGAGGGAGCAGAAGAAACAAAAAAAAATGGTAATTATCCCTACAGTTGTTTATTATGCTATTATGTTCATTATACTGATTACTTTGATGTATTTATTCTAAATTTTACGGTGAACGTGGTAAGGTCTCTCTATATAGGTTATCATGTCATTCAATTATGTGTTTAATACGTTTCTACCGGTATAATGCATGCTTGTTTTAGGTACTTACCTCAAAATGTGAATTCATTACTCATGTGTTGTTGAGATGCAGATATACGTGTTTTTTAAGGCTAAATAATAAATAAAATAAAAGATATACATGAATTAATGGTGTTTAATAAAAAGGTTTACGAGGTGTCTTAGAAAAGAGTGTACGGACTTAGTGCATAAGATAAACCCTACCGTGGATGTTACTCTCAATCGAGCGGGGCTGAGAAGTCCCATACCAGAAGGGTTGAAAATTATTTTAATTACGTTCATATTGGACGATGTATTGAGGCGGTTATATATTTTGACGCCCATTATTGAACGGGGTATGAGGACGATCGTTTGATTATAGAATGAATGCTCGTGTCCACATATTGTGGGGGCCCCTATGGACCCCCAGCGGCACCGTTAGGCAAGGTAAAATGATAAAGATGAATGCGGTGGGAATCAAGTTTTGGGAAATAATAAAAGGTTTATTGCTAGATGTTTTTTAGAATGCGTATTATAAATTGTTATTCTGATTTTTAACTTAATAAATGACATTTAGGAATTTACAGGTGAATTGAGAAAATATTAATATTTTTGTGAAATAAATTTTATTAAGAATGAGTTTCATTGGTTGTTTTATGTTTTTTACAATCCTTTGATTTTTCGTATCAGTGGTAAGGCGTTGATATTCTTACTGAGGTAGTGCAACTCACCATTTATTATTAATCATTTTAGATAAGGACACCCAAGACCTGGATCCTGAATAAGAAGAAAACTAACTAGGAGATTGCCTCTTTACTTCTCCAGTTTCGAGCAGAGGTTGATCACATTTGTTTCTTTTATTACTCTTTTTTATTTAAATTTTTTAAGAGCATTCTTGTAGCCATATTAGCTATTTTAAGTAAACTGTATAAAAAATGTAATCCTAAATTCTAAACTGCTTTCGATAAATTATAAATTTCAGTATTGTTTTATTTTATTATTTTTGAATTATATTTTCAAAATCTCTAGTAGTAGTTTGAGCATAATTTGAATTTATTTAACATACTCCTCGTAATTAATATGTCTCCTCATTATATGAGATTTGTATGTCTCTCTCAATATATATATATAGATATATAGTTTATATATTTATATAATTTAAATTGTAAATAAAATATAAATTCTATTTATATTTACGGTTCTTTAAGTTTTTCATTTTAACATAATTGTTTAACTTTACATTTAATATATATATATATATATATAAATATCATGAATTGACAGTATTGATTTCTCATTTTTTAAAAATAATTTATGCATATAAAATAATAATTTTAATTATTTTAGTCATTAAATGATTTAGAAATTTTATCTAAAATTTTTTTAAAAATATTTAACATTTAAAATAAAAATATACATAATTTTAATAAGTTTATTCAAGAAAAGTAAAAAATAATTAAAGAACCACCACAATAATATTCTAACATATCAAAAACTAAAAAAAAATGAAGAAAATGGATATAATAAGACTAATAATAATTTAAAACTATTTTTAAAAATTTAAGAAATTAAAAAAGACCAATAAATTTTTGTTAATGGGCTGTGATTGTCGAAAATATGAGCCCGCGATTTTAATTTGAATATATGATGGTAATATAAATAGTGAGACAATGGCATCAATATTTAAATTAATACCTCATTTAACATAAAATATATTTTCTCAAAAATTAGTAAAATTATTCATTTTATTTAATGAAATTATTATTTTAATTCCAGTTACATATCTAAATTTCTTGAGAATTTATATTAATAAATATATTTAAAAAATTTTATAATATAAATATAATTATATCTATATTTATATAATAGAATAATCGAATCTGAGTTCATATCGAATTATTTACAAACTCCATACGGTCTTAAAAAACAAGAATTAAATCATTCCCAAATTAGAGTTTGTTCTTTATTAATTTAAGTTTGTTATCTATACTCACTAAGACGATATAATAAAAGAATATATCAAAATAATTTTTAGTAAATTTGGATCTTTCTCTTCCGAAGAGAATCACAATGACTGAACCAAATAAATTTCTCTGTCTTCTTTTATTTTTTCACACTTTTGCTTGTAATTTTTCATTTCAGATGAAGGTTGGTCGTTTCCGGCCTTCGTTAACACCAAATATCCAAATAAGTTGTTGCAATGCACATAATTAATAATGATCATTCAAGACCAGTTTGATTAGGTGGTGTGGTCCACTTTTTCATCTGCTCATCAAAGGATCCTACAACAGCAGACTGACTTTTACTCCTGAGCTGATCTACAAATATATCATAGTATGCTATAGCATCCACTTTTTCCAATACTCTCACCAATTTTCCTTTCTTCCGATCTATTACTATTTCTCCGTCTTTCGATTCAACTCCTTCGACAATGACCTTGATATGCTTGCCTTGCAAGGTAGGTTTTAGTAATGAATGATCACCAGCAACAAATACTGCACCTAAGATCTCTCCCAAGAAGGTTTCCTAAACCAAATTAATATTTATTAGTTAGTGATAATCGGAAAATTTAGGAACACGAAAATTTAGACACGAAGGTTTACCATGTGCCTATATATTCGACAAGTCTGCTGCAAATGGTGTAGTGTTGACAGCAAATTGTAAGCAAACTGAGCCTCTGGTGTTGCGTCCCTTGCCTTATACAGCCTTTCTAGCATGCTACGACATGAGCTTATGCTACGACGAGCTCCAAGTGGAATAATTGTGATATTGAGTCGAGATTCGAGAACTGTCTTTGCTGATAAAGGATCAAGATACATATTGAATTCTGCATGCTTATTTGAAGGGACAGTAAAGACGTCTCCTTTGGCCATGTTGCCATTCCTCATGTGTCCTCCAACAATGTATACATCCTGCAGTGGGATTTGAGATATATCTGGTTAGCCTTCATTTTCTGGAACTGTAAGATATAATTATATTCTTCATTACCTGAATTAGAGAGGTCAAATTTGTCCTATCCAAAATGATCCTTGCTAAATTAGTCAAGGGTCCATTGGTCAGTATTGAAATCTTAGATCCTTGATTCATATTTCCCACAACAGAATCCCAAATTTCCATTGCTAAAGGTTGCCTGAGTTCCGGGTGATCAGTATCCCGAGGAGCACCAAACTTCACAGAGTTTTCCGCAGTATACCTGGATGAAATTCAGCATTTTATTCCCAAACAACTTGGGCATAGATTGAGAGACAAAATTGCTTTTTACAAAGAAATTTAGTACACCTTCTAGGACTTCTTGGCAAGTCACGAGCCAGCCCGTAAAGAGTGTCTGAGTCCAGAAGTCCACCACTCCCTTGTGGGATGGCCTTAAGGTACTTGCAGTTTCCAACACCTGGGAAATCTGAGTCAGATTGTTGCATCGCGAACATTTCTCCGAGACCAACAGGGATGTCGTCGCGACCCATCATATGCAGCAAATCGTAGATTACATCTATTGTAGCAGGATTAGCCCATCCAGTCGGAGTCACTAGTATTGCCTGGATTCAGGTGTCATTTCTCTATGCATTTTGATATCTAAATAGCAGGGAATATGAACTAAACTACTCTATATCATTCAAATATATCAAGCTTAATATGATATCAAGGCTTCAACCTGTGAAACGTTCCTCTTACCTGAAGGTCAATTACTTCAACTGGCACTTTCAGGAGATAGAACAGTGCTAGGAAATCTCCAACACTCATATCCATGTCGAATATGAAAGGTTTCCCCGGAATTCTCGTTCCGAAATTTGCTTTGTGGAACACTTCTTTGTAGTAAGGAAACTGTGTTGACAGATTAAACCTTCCAGCTTGTTGAGGGAGATTTAGAATCTATGCCACCATAAACAGAATTTGGATTCTATCAGTATGCTATGTATAGAAAAAATTGAAGATCTTGAAGACATATGCAATAAGAATTACATACAGTGAACTTACATCCAAGAAGCTTTTGAAAAATTCTCTATCAAGCTCACTTTCAATATCCTTGTTGGGTTTTGCTTTTGTTGCAACAAGAACACGTACCCCCTCCGGACCATCTACCTCTTCCGTAAAACCATCCTACTTGATTGAACACGAACATATTTATCAGGAATAGTCAATCCGATTCTAAAGGCAGCAGATTTGAATTATGATCACCAATTCATAACCAAAAAGGTTGAAGGGAAGAGGAAAGATAAACCAGATTGGAAACTCGAGAAATCATTAATTCATCTTCTACAGAGTTGTTTTTTATTACCTTGCATCTCCCTTTCCCATTCTCCACAATGCAAAATGGATCTCTTACCCCTTTTTGTACATGACCACTATGAACTCCTCCTTTTTTTAAGTTGAACTTTGGAACTTTACGGCCATCAAAGAACGGGTTTGAGCCATTTGAGATTCCATAAGGCTCATTTGAAGTAACTACAGTTATATTCATGTATTCCATTTCAGCAAATTCATTTTCCCCATTACTCTTATAACTCGAATTACGCATGATTGAGATTGCTACACCAGATGTGAAAGAATCCCACATGAAGTAGCTCTGCATAGAGTTTAGCAGATCATATTCACAAACATTCTATTCTCCAAAATACAAGTACTGCAGAAGGTTTCTTGCGTTACAAGAAATTAACATACTGTATAGAAATGGTCATCAAACCAAGTGTCCCGTGCCATTTTCAATGACTGAAAGCAGTATTGTGCCTCATATGTGTACTGGTTCTGCTCGAATTCCTTGACGAACTTAGCATTTATCGGGATTGTATTTGTTGCATCGAGGGGAACAAGCGTGATGGGAATCCCGGAGTGGAAAACCTAGAAGAAAGCAATTATATGTGCAGCAAAGTTAGAAACTTATTTACAGAGAATTTTTCTTTTGCAGATTGTAAGTGCATATGAAAAAGTTTATGTATCTGGTAAGAAGCAATAGGATCACCGAAGAAGTTGAACTCTCCGTAAGGATTACTCTTATAGTCTGTGAACAGATTGCCATGGTCACCACACTGTCTTGGCTGGCAAGAAATGGAAGCATTTGGAGGGCAACAGCCAGTTGGATTTTTAGACCTTACACCACCTCCCATAATGTATATATGCTTAACATTCTTCTTTAATTGTGGATTACTCATGAGGAAAATGGCGAAATTTGTGTGAGCTCCCGTGAGTATGACAGTTACCGGACCAGCCGATACTGTGTCAATCATCACTTGTTGCGCAGTAGGTTGTCGGAGAGGAGAGTATCTCCTGCTACCCTACAGGGTTCATGAGCAGAACAATATCAAAACAGAACAGAACAGAGCAAGAGGTTTCCTAGTAAGTAGCATACCTGTGGAAGGAATGCTTTCCGCAGGCCATAGTTCGTATCAACATCTAATCGTCCTCCGAGACCTACTGGAATTGCTTGCCTGTATCTACAGCCTCCGGTTGTCGTCATCCCCTAATACAATCACCTCGAGGAATTATAAGAATCGGAACCAGGACAACAAGCCATTGTTTGGTAATAAAGAGAGCTAACCTGTTCAATTAAAGGAAGATATCCACCAACATTTCTGAGAATGGTGCCATCTGCTTTTATCCCACCTTCACCTCCCACTCCAACTGCTATATTTCTCGGTCCATCATGTAAAGCATGTCGTATAACTGATTAACAGCATGTCCGGCATCAGTCCATGCATTTGCGCTGATAGTGACCGCCTGCAAAATGTCATTCAAGCTCTGAGATTCATCAAATTAATCTCTCATTGAAGTGAGTCAGAGAATTGGACAGGAAGAAAAGATAACTGGGTATTGTAAGTTACTTCATATATAAATAGATATATTATAGAGATGATAAGGATAAGTTTTTAGTGACCTCTAACTCAAATTCTGATCTGTTAAGCTTGAGGAGGTAGAAGAGAGCAAAGAAATCATCTGTATCAACGTCTGTGTCCAGTAGAATCCTATATGGTTGGCCTTGAACTGGGTAGAATTTTTTCTCAAGAAATCCTGCAATGAGTAGAAAAATTCCCAGAATTCTAATCCCCCACAACATTCTCTCTCTCTCTCTCTCTCTCTCTGTGTTTCAGTCACTCTGCTGATCTTGATCAAACCAAGAAGAAAGAAGAAAACGCTCATGCGTCAACCTCTACAATACAAGCAAGAAATGCTGAGAAAAAATGAAGATAAACATGTATAGTGAAGGATAGTGTTTGGACAGAGAGAAAAAGGTTGGTTGGTGGCATAAAAAGGCGAACAAACGAATCACAGAACAGTCTGAGGGAGAAAAGTGAGGAAGAAGACCCAGATGAGTCGTGAGTGGAGCGGTTGACCAGCAAAATGTCGTCGCGGATAAGAAAGCCGACCAGATGGAACTTCTCAATTCACTGCTGCTAGCAGAATCTTCAGCTTATATGTGTATTTAATATGTATCTATATATGTTTATGTCTATGTGCGTGTACTTATAGATGTGAGGGTACACATGAATGTATACGTACGTGTGTGTGTATATATATATATATATATATTATATACATCATAAATTTGCAAACAAATTATAATACAAGAAATCAAATTATTTACTTTTGAAAACTATTTTTCCTAGAAAGTATGACCAATAAAAATAGTACATATTTATCAATTACTAATTAGTTGGATATTTAATACATATCTTTTTTTACAAAAAATTGTATGTTGAATTAGGGTTTTGTTTTTATTTGTTGTCCTTTTTAAATCGTTTTCTGTAATATTATAATTAATATTTATGTATTATTTATTAATTAAAAAATATAAATAATATATTCTAGTACAAAAGTAATCAAATTATCATAAAATTATTAAAATATATTTAAAAAATTAATTTAATCACTCAAATTCTTCTAATATACTTTACTGACTGTAAAAAAAAAAAAATACATATATATTTTTTATGCCCGCAAATTTATACATAAAACATAATATATATATATAAGTGTATTAAATTGGGTGTGAACTCCTTTTGTTTTAAGAGTTTAAGAAAGTCATATCATCATATACTTTAAATATTATGAAGCGGCTTTATCATGTTGACATTTATTACATTTAGTTGAAATTAATTCTTTGAGAATGCTATAAGTCTTTTTTATACTTTACTGCAAGGGAATTTATATTATTTTAAATAAAAATTACCTAATTATTTTCAATAATGAAAATATTGACATTTTATACATAATTTTTTTCCTCATAATTCCATTACATCATTATGATAATATTTTTTAAAAAAATATGTTTTTAAAATATATTAATATTTGGAAATGCATAAATGTCTTTCTTTATATTTGATAAATTTTATCTTTTTAATTTTAAATCAATTTGGACATATATAATATACATATATATGTTTATGTATGTAACTCGCAATTAAAACCTACTATATACATGCACATAAGAAAATACAGCTCACAATAATTAAATTAAAGTAAATCATATTTTAACCACCAAACTAAACAGTAGTTAGTAACTACCACATTTAAATTATTAAGTGTTTTATAACCAACATTTAAAAAAGATTACATAAATAAGAAGCTTCTCCTATATATATATATATATATATATATATAATTCAACTGTGAGTCATTTGTCTCTCATGTTACTCTTCCTTTCTTTATCTTTATTTATATATATTTTTTTTGTTTTTTCTTTTTCTTTTTTTCCTTTTGAATAGTTATTTGTTCTTGTCATCTTCATTCTCTATCTCATTACCTATTTTTCTACTCTTCCAATCTTGTTACTTGCACACATTCATTATAAAATATACATCAAATATATATATCACAATGTATCAACTATTTAATATAAAATAAAATTATTCTTTTTATATGGTAGAATCAAGAGAGAAATTGTCTAGAAGTATCATAGTATTTGAGAATGATGTAAGTTTAGTAGGAATGATAACTCAAGAAGGAAGGAGCTGTAATGACCCCTAACTCAAAGAAAATGAATTTATAGTTTAAATGCGAACGCGAATAATAATGTTAGGATTTACATTCCTTACACAGTAAATTAGAATGCTCAATATGGATACGAGAATGTTCCTTTTATATTGGTTCATAAAAAGACAAACGGTAATTAAAAAAAATAAATAAATAGATATTTTAGGGGTTAACATTCACTAGTACTTGAAGGAAGTTCGGGAGATGAACTACTCACAACTCTCTTGCTGATCGGGATCCGGATATTGGTCTTCTTGATCTAAAATAGTTAACAAAAGGGTGAGGTATACTACCCCACTAAGAATATCAGACTAATCACTGATACAAAAAATCGAATGTTGGTAAAAATTATAAAACAACTAATGGAGACATTGATTTAAATAAACTCTAAAATATTTTATTCAATACTTACTATTACAGATTTTTCCGATAAGAACCTGTGAAGACAAATAATTAAGTGATATTTTAATTTCGTGCATAAGATCAGTAATTCTTCCTTTTAACCTACTTACTGGGATCCATGTGGGTCCGTAGGGATATCCCTTTATTTGTAAACCCAGTATCAAGATTTGACAATTAACCTGACCGTCCTCATATCTCGTTCGATAATAGGCGCCAAAAACATCATCGTCTCGATATTCCGTTCGGTATGAGAGTGAATCATATATTCCAAAATCCTTCGGTATGGGACTTCTCCGCCCCATCCGACTAAGGTAATGTCCACAGTAGGATTCTCTATGTACTGGGTCTATTCACTCTTCCAAGGATACCCAGTAAGCTTTCATTTATATAGATTATCATCATCCAAACAACCACCAACGCATATCAATATCTCATTTCATATTCACATATTAATTTAAACGACATTTAAGTAAGTGGTATAGTTTAACATAATTGAATAACTAAATAACCAAAATACTGAATAAATAATGCAGGAGGAACCAAATAATCGAGAAGACCATAAAAATTATCAAATTAAATACGCACAATATAATAGTAAGCAATTTAGGCAGTACAGAAAAATAAACAGAGAATCAGGACAAATGTGAACTAACTAGTTCCGGCTCCACTAATAACTTGTAATTATCTTTTTTTAGGGTTTTTTTAAGTTTCACAAAATACAAAATTATTAATTTAATCCTCAATTTACCATAACAGATAATAAGGTGAGGGATCCTTACTCGAATCGTATTTCGAAATGCTGTCCTACTCACTATGCCTCCTGATAGGGCCCAGGTTTCCTAAATTTTCTATGCAAAAATTAAAATACTCGTTACGTACCCAAAAGTATCCTAAAAACCTAAAATCAGTGTTGAAAATATTTTCTGGCCAATTTTAGGGTTTTGGCATGGAAGCGCTACCATGCTCCGGCGCCACTGCGGCGGTTCGCCTTGGCTTGATCGATTTTGGTCAGTTTTATATGTATCCTTATGGAAAAACACGTTAGGAGGCCTCAGTTGACTAGAAAATAGAAAAAAATAGTACCTACCAGTGGGGGGGTCTTCGGGTGTGGCGGTTCTGCTGGTTCTCCTTCACGGCTGGTGTTTCTTCTTCGGCTAACCTGCATAGAAAAGGACGGTGAACACAATGGTCAAAAAATTGTGTGAAACAGGAAACGGGAAGGGGGTCATTGGAGAGGGTTTAGGGTTTTGGTTGTGGCGGCTCCTCTGGGCTTTGTCCGCAGTTTTCAGCTCACCTACTGTCCCGTTTGCTCTGATATGGTCATAGAGAGGCTCAAAAATGGATTTTCGAGCACAGAGGAAGTTTTTTTTTATCTCTTTTGGTGATCAGTGGTGGCTCTAGTGTGGCAGCGGCCAAGGATTGGCCTCATTCTCTAGCGCTTAGTTCTTCTTCTTCAGTGAGGAATGAGGGACTACGGTAAGGTTCTCCTGTGATGCGATATTTAAATACCCATCTCGTATCGATCTAGACCATCTGTTTGGGAACACATGGAGCGAGGAGGACTGTTCGATGATTTTTCGTTTAGACTCATTGCATGGACGGATCTGGGTCGTCGTTCATGATCAATCTCGTCCGTCTAATCAAGTCTAAAGAAGAAATGCATCTGAGCTGTTCGTGTGTGCGCGATGCGATCTGGACCGTTGGATCGCCCAGGCACGCGGACCGCCCTCGTGGAGCCGATGTCAACCTGTCTGCCACGCGACATGCTCTGGTTTGCTCGGGTTATTGATTGGGCCGTCCCACGTGGCCAAATTTTTACTTTTTGCGATTTAACCTTCTATTTTTAATTTTTCTTTCAAAAATACCTCATAGATTTAAAATTTCACCCTTTTTCTCTAAGTTATTTTCAATTTTGTCCATAATCTATAGTTCTCTAAAAATTCAATAAAAATAAATTAAATTAATAATTTCTTTATAATAAAAAGAAAATTTTGGGTAGATTTTCAGTTCCGAGTATTACAACTCTCTCCCCCTTAGAAAGAGTTAGTCCCTCAAATTTATCATCCTCTCACTCAGTTGAACAGCTAAGGGTACTGGGCTCTAAAGTCTGATTCCAGTTCCCAAGTGGCATCTCCCTGCATATGATTCTATTATAGAATCTTGTTAAAAGAAATTTTTCAGTTGCGAAGTACTCTACTCTTCTAGTCTACAATGCCTACCGGTACCTCTTCATAAGATAAATCATCCTCAAGTGAAATGAGCTCATAAGACAAGATATGTGAGGGGTCCGGATTGTAATTGCGTAGCATAGACACGTGAAACACATTATGAACTCTGGACAACTCTGGAGGTAGTGTTAGTCTATAGGTGGTTGTACCAATCATGTCTAAGATCTTAAATGACCCAATGAACTGGAGATTTAATTTCTCCCTCTTGTCAAACCTATTAATTCTCTTGAAATGGGTGACCTTAAGAAATACTCGATTGCCTTTCTCAAATTCTAAATCCCTACTTTGGGTGTCCGTATAACTCTTATGTCTGTTCTGAGCGGTCTGAATATTCTTTCTGATTTTAACTATCTTGGCTGTAGTCTCCTCTACAAGATTCGGGCTAAACAATTTTCTATCGCCCACCTC